GGTCTGTACTGTAATCTGCTTTATACCCTGTACAAAACTGCCAGCCGGTCGAGGCAGATGGTCTCCTGTCCTGAGCCTGGTTCTGCTGGAGGTTTCTTCCTGATTAGCAGGGAGTTTTTCCTCTCCACCGTTTGCTCAGGATGGGAGACTGTGATGAAGTGATTCAACACAATCTGCTGCTTTCTTCTTTACATTGTTCAATTTATGTACAGTGTCCTGAGACAACGTATGTTGTGACTTGGAGCTATATTAATAAACTTGAACTCACCACGTCAGACTCGTTCATCTTGATGGTCATTTTACTGACGGCGTCTGTTGCTTTACTAATCATCTTAAGGAAGCCAGCGCTACTCAGTGCCTGAGTGCTCACAGCTCTAGGCAACTGAAAACACATTTTATTTCATCAGATTCAACATAAACAAACTTAAACATTAGGAAAAGAAGCATCTCCAAATGTAGCTTACCTCCTCTTTCTCAAGAAACTCTCTGACGTCAGGATCTTGAAGAAGCATCGGGTGATTCACTACCCTCTGGAGATACCTGAGAAAACATGACAGACTCCTTTTCAAAATGCTGATTAGAAGCACTAAAAGAACTGACTGATAGCAACTCTGACTTACCTTTCCAAAGCACCTCTTCTTCTTTCCAGAAAGTCTGCAGAGGAAGAGTCTTCCTTTCCCACCTTCATCTTTGTCATCCCTGAACAAGATAACAGTTAGATGGAGAGAAGCTGAAATTTTAAATCTGAGACATGAAGTGGTCAAACCCACCTAAGAGGTTTTTCTCTGGAGGCGGAGGAACAATGAGTCCACTTGATCCATGCTTTTCAGAAAGCTTTTCGTACAGGCCTAGGAAGTCGCTGAAACGTCTCTTCACTGTAAATGTTTTGTTGTGGAACATGGGCAGTGTTGTCTAAAAAAACAAGTTCATACACTTAAAGCTTTATCATTAAAATGTATTGTTACTAGATTTTTATTTTTTTAACCAACTGATGTTTAAAATGAATATGTTGATTGTTTAAAACTATTCTCCATTGTAGAGGTCCAAAACTGCAAAGTGCTATTCAGTTTAAAGGGATCCCTGATTAGTTGTAACATTAGACTTTACTTGATAAACATTTGTTTTAACTGTAAAATAGACTGTAAAAATACTATAGGATGTTTAGATATTACACGAACGAGGCCATTTTATTTCCACACAAAGCATTCTGGGTAAATGATGACGTGGATAGGTCATCGGTGCAAGGCTGCTAGCGAGCTATATCCACCCTGAAGGTTAATCTTGGACAATATCTGATGATCGACTCTTTTAAATGAAACCAGAGAGCGTTGACAGAGAGGAGAAGGTAGAAATGACTCAGCCTGGAACTGAAAATATGGATGGAGGACAACAGAGCTGCTTCATGGAAGAAGAAGTTACTTACTTATATTTAATGGAAACACTGCAGTTGCGAAACTGTGTTTTTTCGACATCAACAGAATATCGACAAAGTTTTGCGCACATTTGCAGTGGAAACGCAGCTTCTGTTAGACTGATGTCAAAATAATCTGTATCATATCGGCCTTCAAAAACCTGTATCAGTCGATCTCTATGTTTTACATTACTATCTTCCTTTGGGATTGCAAATCATTGGATTCAGTTTTTATTTACATTTTAAATCTCAACTTCTTGAGAGTTGGTGTAGTAAATTCTAAAGTCTATTTCTAACGTCCTGATGCATCTCAGTAATCCAGGTAAGAAATCAAAAGGAAAAAAATTGTATAGGTCCTCTGGACGGGTTCTTCTCTAATGAAACGTTTCGTCTCTCCTCCAAGAGACTTCTTCAGTCTGAGAGTTTCAGGCTAAATTCAGGCTTTTAAGCCCTGCCTCCATGTGACTGATACTCACATCACATGGCTATCGTTGACACCTAATTAACACCTATTGTTAACAGGGGGTGGWGTGATACTGGCAATAGCAGCGCTGTAGGAGGGGGACAACTGAAAACGGAGGCCTCCACCTCTGTTTAATGATGGACGGTCTTTCTTCACAAAAATGGCTTCTTTTACTCCTCTCTCAAACCAACGTTCCTCTCTATCAAGAATGAGAACATCCTCATCTCTGAAAGAGTGACCGCTGGCCTGTAAATGAGTGAAAACTGCAGAGTTCTGGCCATTAGATGTAGCTCGTCTGTGTTGGGACATTCTTTTGAACAGTGGTTGCTTTGTTTCCCCGATGTATAACTGGTCGCAGTCCTCCTGGCACTTAACTCTCAGACTGAAGAAGTCTCTTGGAGGAGAGACGAAACGTTTCATTAGAGAAGAACCATCCAGAAGACCTATACAATTTTTTTCTTTTTGTCTATTTCTAACCTTTATTAAACTGGGACGCAAGTAACATCACCGGACCGGATATTACTCTGGCTTAAATTCTAACTGCAAAGTAATTATCTGAGATCTAATTTTGCCTAAGATATGGTTAAGTTTGTAACTAACTAGACCTCTGTGACAGTGACCTTATCAAAATAAAAGTAAAATTTCTGATAAAAATACAAACATCACCAATTAAAAATTAAAATAATCTTAAAGGTTGTAAGATAAAATAGAAAAAATCCTGGAGAGAGGAGTCAGTTTGAAGAATAAAACAGATTTGAATAGCAGCACAGTGACTTATTTTTTCTATTGTTACATTCTGAGTGACTGCACAAAATTAGGAAATCAATCAATAATTAAAATTCAGATCAAGTAAAGTTATGTACATGGTTTTACCTCTGTGGACACTTTGTAGGCCATGTAGGCATTCATCCCATCACCTGTGGGGGAAAAATAATTTTATGATATTTATTTAGATCCGTTCGTAGAAGAAATTAAACATTTGTTGTCTTTAAAATGTCTGTGGTAAGACAAATAATAAACCTCACCTATTTTTTCTGGGTCTTTCACAGAAACAAAAAGGTCAAACTTGTCTTCCAGTTCCTCCTGCTGTTCCTCCTCTAACTGAAACATTAAAGATAAAGTGAAAACTGTAAACATTCTTCCTTTTAATATGAACTTAAGTTATTTTTTTAGTGGCATTATTACTTTTCTGTAAAAATAAGGTCCTTGACAGTGGTGGGCACTAGTCCCCTAAAGCGCTAATTGCAGACCTAAATTTCTTCTTTGCGCTTTAGGGGTTTTATTAATTTTTTCAAATGACGTGCAGATTTGCGCTTTCTAAATTTAGAATTGAGTAGCGCTAATCACAAATAACGTTACAAGTTTCATTGTCAATATTGTCTAAAGAAAAAGTAGAGATCCGTCTAAACCCACTACGTTCTGTAGCAATATATTTCATTAAAGATCATTTTCTTGAATAATGGAGGAGAAAGCCATCTCTTGTTAACAAAATGAAGCTCTACTGAGAGGAAACAGCGCCCCCCTCAGGCAGCATTGTGTTGACAGAGATTTATACTTTCACTGACCCCTCTGTGTGACAGTTTTCATTTAGTAGAGTTCCCACAATTCTTTGTGTGACAGGAAGCATTTGGAGCTGAGTGACAAACAAACACTATCTAGCATGAATATTGTTTTTTATATATCCTGATGCATCTCAGTAATCCAGGTAGAAAAATCAAAAAGAAAAAATAAGTAGATCCTCTGGATGGGTTCTTTAATGATATTTTGTCTCTCCTCCGAGGGACTTCTTGCATCTGAGGAGTTTGAGGTGAACTCAGCCTTATAAGCACTGCCTCCACATGGACAAACAGGTTGGTCACATGCAAAAGAGGGCCATCGGCCAAACAATAGGTCGTTAGAGCCTTGATTGGCTGAAGAAGTCTCTTGGAGGAGAGACAAAACATTTCATTAAAGAAGAACCCATCTGGAGGACCTACTTAATTTTTCTTTTTGTTGTTTATGAGCTTTGATAGAGGGAGGATTTTTTTTTGTTCCTGCTTTCGGAGGAGTAAGACGCTTTTTCCCTCTCTCCTGTCCTTCCTTATCTTCCCTGCTTTGCTGCTCGGAGCCTCCTCTACGTTTTCATCCGAAACCAAAAATTATGGATATTTTTATTTTTATGGATTTGGTTAGCTGGTCTTTTAATAAATTTTTGGAACAAAGTTTTCTTCCATGGGAGGACATGTCAAAGGTGGGACCTCTGTTCTGTTCTGTTCTGTAGAATCCAGTTATCAGAATCCAAATATATATTTGGGTTCTGATAACTGGATTCTACAGGTTGGCTTGGTGGTCTCCTGGTGTTCTACAAAACAGTGTCAGTGGCTATTTAGGCCTTTTCCTGGCTGCCTGACCAATATGAAGGATTGCCATTCTATCAGCACTCAGACTTTTGCCTTGAGCGAGCTGGACTCGGTCTGCAAGCGGTTCTGCTGAGGGTCATGGGCCGGCTGTGGTTCCTGGACATTGCTGGCCAGATGGAATTTATCTTGGAGATACTGAGAGCTTGGCGGGATTGCCCACACTATTTGTCTGATTGGATTTGCCATATTGGATGTACCAGTGGACATTAAAGGCAGACGAAAAATTGTTATTGTGTACCTGACCGAAAACATTTCTTCTGTTCCCAAACAACTGATTACAGATTAGGCTCTCCCACCCCACGTTGACCTTGAAGGCAATGGAACTAAATCCACCCACCACCCTCCCCCTTCTCACTCCTGTCTAATCTTATTCCTTGAAGGACAACCTGAAGCTGCACAGAATGAACAATTCAACACCAATATCCTGAACAACAGCTGAACTACAGGGTTTATCTTTTGGGGTTTGGATTCTTCAGACTCATTCTTCAGATATTCGCACAAGTGCATCCAACATTCATGGCTTCAGATACACACCCTCTAAACTCACTACTCCTCTGGCTAATAAATATGCTCTTGCTTGTAGAGTTTTTTATAAGCACTATAGTGTATCATATTTCTTTGATATAATATGATGTTTCGTTTTGTTTTTTCCACATCTAACCTTCTGTGTTTTTTTCTTTTTTCTTTTTAAAGGTAGTGTGACCCCTGCTGGTAGCCGCATGACCTGTACTCCTGTTCCCCAATGTTTTTGTCGTGTGTCTTCTTGAATGGGCGTTCTTAAATGTAATTTCATTGTGCTCTGTACAAAGACAACAGACATCATCAATCAATCAATCATAATTTATGTCCCGTTGTATTTTCACCAACCCGCTTTCTCACGTCGTATTGAAGCTCACACAAAACAGTTTAAATTCATGCTCTTATTTTTAAAGGAATGGGTTCCTGTTCATCCTGTAGGTTACCCAGAATGCATCGCTTTAGTTTTACAAAAAAACATTTAAAATTACTAATATATCTGCATGCTTTCTTAACGAAGCCCTACCATAAACACAAGAAAATGACCAAGAAGCAGCAGAACTAGCAATCCACAACTAACACCATTTTTTAACACCATGACTCAAAAGTCTGTTTCAACAAATCACCTTCCCAAACTGCAACAACACGAGCCAATCTGTGAATGGAAATTATCATCCCACTACTTGGCAGGATTGTGCTGCTAACATGTCTTATGGTGTCACTGGAAAGTTTTTGGCGAACGGAGACAGATTTGTGCATTTGGATTAGCTTCTGCTAAGTTTTTTTGAGCTTATGCGCTTTTGAACTTGTGGATCTAAATAAATTGACTAGTACTTTAGAAAATGCGCAACTAAATTTTGAATTAGAAGTGCCCACCACTGGTCCTCAAAGGGATCCATGATTAGTTGTAATATTAGACTTTATTTAATAAACATACATTTTAACTGTAAAATAAAGACTGTAAAAATACTGTAGGAT